GCTTCTTAACTAAGGTATGAAACTATGAGATTCAATTATTTAGAGTTCATGAAAATTCATTTTGAATGAATCTTTGTACAAAACAAGTCAGTGGTATATGATCTACTCAAAACTGTTTTATTATTTTTATTCAGAGAGATATTTCTGTTAACTTCAGGTTGTTCACCTGAAGGTCAAACTGACACTTGGAGTTAATTTCAAAGAAAAAATTGATGAAAAACCTAATGGTCATATTTTAGCATCATATATATATTTTCAGGTGTATAAAGAGGAGGACACAGTGACGGCATTATCATTGTAGGCAAGCTACCATACTTTATTGATAATAGGAACTACAATACTCTCTGAAAAGATATCAAAAACTTGTTGAAACAAGAGCAGTGGATGTAGGCTTTGAAAAGAAGTTTGTAGTTGTATGCAATTTGATATAAAGAGATACCTACTTGGTTATAGAAATGAAATATTATTGTTCATGATACTGAATTAGTCGAAGACTGTTTCTAGAGTTAATTCTTAATGATCACCAATCTTTAGTGAGTCATATACTACTTATCATTTGCCATCTTATGAATCAAGTCTATTGAATGCAATGTAAATAACTGATCTCATGTTTAGAACAGAGTAGATACTTCTTGCATAAGTTTTATTGAATTCCACAAAGTTATACTCCAAGTTTTAATGAACTATTCCTTGTGTCTGACAAGTGGTAAACTATCATTACGAACCATCTTGAATAATCTAGTGCTTCGATTATTGTGTATTCACCTTTCGTTTGTTCCAACTACATATATATTCACATATATAAATGTATTATCTGTATAAGAAAGAAATCTGCTTCTTTCTGAAACCTACAGATAGAAAGGCTTTGAACAAACCCTCAGGTGAAACTGGAAGGTTCAGCAAACTGTATGATTTAGTATGGTCATATTCTTATATAAAGTGAAGCATACAAGATTTTCCTACATTAATCATTATTCTACAACCATCGTATACTTCTTACTACACTTTCAGTATGCCCAAATTTCAACAGCTACTGTCCAATTAGTTTTAAATACTCGTTTATAACGCTAGAAGAATATATTCAAGTAATAAATTGAAAGATTTGTGGAGTCTCTAAAAGACTGCGCAAGACAATGGTCACCTGTAGAAGTTTATGAAGAAATACAGAAGAACTGAAAACAACAAACCGAACCAAATAGTAGTAAGAAAGAAGCCCGTTTTTACTGAATTAAACCTCAAAGGTGATGATATCTCTGCAAGAACTAACAGAAGGCCAAATGCCGCACTGAAACAGAAAATATCCTGCAGGTAAGTTGCTCCTTCTCTACAGAATAACATGCTCCTTGGTACAATCAAAAGTTCATAGATTCCCTTCCCATGTTACACATATATAGAAGTACATACGTACATCTGCAGAAACAGTTACCTCCGGAGGACAGAGAGGAGAGCATACCTTAGATTCTCTGAACATCTACCAAAATTCCTACATCCGAGGGAAACAAGCACTTTCAGTATCCAAGTCACTCAAAATCTTTTTAATACGGGGTATGAAGGAGACACCTTAGAATCATTCGTGGTAATCAACAAACAATGTAATTCAAGCCTTTTCAAGATTTATGAGATTGTAGCGATCAAATGACTGAAACCGGAATTGTGTATCCAAGAGGAAGCAAAGACAAGTCTGTCTTTGTCCTGGTAATCTAATATTTCACTGTTCCTTTTATTTCATGACAGTCTTTGGACTAAATCTTTTTTCTGCTGGTACGTAATTTGATGCCACCCCCTACCAACTGAGCTCAACTCATTTTAATAATGCACGATTTAGAGGACTGACATCAGTTGTGAAACCATTGGGAATTAGGGGGCACTGGACAGGTGCTTCATCATACTATGGGACTTCTCAGGAGTACGCACCCATGACCCGGCTAGGGATCAAATTCAGGACCTTCAGGTTTCACTGAAAACCGACCCAATGGCTGAATGGTTAATGCGATAGCCGTGAATGAAACCTGAAGGCCCTGAGTTCGACCCGTACACAGGCCATGGATGCATGCTGCCTAGAAGTCCCATGCTAGGACGAAAAAGCCATCCAGTGCTCCCAGATCTTCGATGGTTCCCCAACTGATACATGTAAATTAAAAATCCTCATTCATTTCTAACATACATTACTGTGTAGTCCTCAATAATGATATGCTTCCAGATGGACGATATCATGAAGCTCTAATGAGAAGCCGTGACCTGTGAGGTCAACCAGTTGAAAGGGAAGTGGATGCCATCTGAACAACTTGGGTGATAGTCGCGCTATATCGTGAATTGACAAAAGTTGGAAACTACAAACCACCGAGGATCATCTCAGTGGCTGAATGGTTAACACATTCGCCACGAAACTATAACGAAACAGCTGCCCCGTGTTCCCAGATTTTCAGTGGTTCCCCAGCTAAATATTACCTCAAGATAAATTATAGTTGATTTAGTTGATATTTATCATCAGCTAACCGACTTGTTAATCTCCTTACGTAATCCTTTATTGCTATTCGTATTCTTTTTCTAAACTCTCTGTTGAAACACATATATTACTGAAATTTCCTAGTACATTTTATTAACTTTACTTGAATGTTTGTATTCTTTATCAAACTATATTGTTTCCTGTTAACTAACTCCATGTAACTAGAAAAAAAGGATATTCTTTTTCGTAATATGATATTTAAATGTTTTTAAGTTGTAAGCGGCTGATGAGGAAACGACGAAACAGACTAGTACAAGTCATTCCACTGTAGTTATTGTTCTTCCTCTGTTCAATTTCACAAAGTATATGAAAATAATTTTTTTATCATTCCTGTCAAATTTTTCCATTTTAAAAATCAACCGACAATAAGGTGAATGGAATATCCTGAAGTTCTTACCAAATCAATATACGCATAAATCATTACCATCTATCTTTAAGAGCTCATGACTGCTTAATTACAAGCAGTGTGATGGAAATTTCTAGATTTTTATATTCACTATTCACCCATAATGTGTTTACTTTTTAAAAACCATTAGGTCATATAACTGACTTGATAAATAAGTAAGAGCGTCCCAAAGTAGCGTGTAAACTGTGTTTAACAAAATCAATTTTTTCCATAAATAAGCTGGACAACTATTAAACATGCCTAGTCACTGCTTATCTCAATATGACACATGATACAGGAAGTTCGTTGAATTTGGAAAAGGTTTCAGGATGGTGTGATCAAGATTATGGCAGTAATTGATGAAGTTGATTTTGTCAATCAGTCCATTATGAATCAGCTGCATATTGAATATCAAAAATCCTTTTTATAACCACAATATAAGCAAATGAGTAAAAACTAATAGCATTACGTTAGGATTTTCATTGACAGAGTGGGTCCTAATCAACAAATAGAATAACTAGTGAAATTACTTTTTTCTGATGACTAGGGTAACATAAATTGCCTATGAACTTCGATCACACTTTCTCTGTAAAATAATATTGGCTTGTTGTTAGATGTTGAATTCCAGAATGAATGGAATATCGTGAACAAATTACAGAAGGAATTCTTATACATCAAGATGGAAGTCGTTTTAATTAGCCACTACTGTTTGTTAAACTGATTTTTAGTGTGAAAAGATATATATTTCAGTAGAATTCCTATACTAAGATGGAACATCTGTTCGCTATTCTCAGTTCTTCAATATTTCTCCAGCTAATGTCAATTTATGATGAATATTGTCTTAAAAACAATTCTCAACCTATGTTAATGATGAATCATGGCTAGCAGTGGAATTCAGGATGCGCATTTCATCCTATTTGGGACTCGTCAGTTGGATGTACCTACTTCTCAGTGAGTGATGTTGTTCCCACCGGGATTCGGACTCAGTTGCAGTCACTTCAAACGCCAGCGCGTTATCCACCACACCACCGAGCCACGATAGCCACTTCCTGTGTTGCAGGTATAGTTTTTAATATGGTTGTCTTTATATGATAACATCGCTGATTGCACCGAATTGATCGGTTTCTATTGGCATGTGGGCTCCTGTGCGGATGCTTCGATATTGCCAGTGTTCTAATTATGTTAATGATGGATCGTGGCTAGCAGTGGAATCCAGGATGTGCATTTCATCCTATTTGGGACTCGTCAGCTAGATGTACAACGGTATCATACAAAAACAATTATACTAAAATTTTCAACCTACTTTGTACTCGTGTTTAAAAGATATTTAATTTGAATCATGTTATATAACATAAAATGCAGAGAAAATTCTTGATAGAATATAAGATTTTTATCACCTAGGAAAAACAATATAATCGACCCACCTGAAGAGAAAGAATGTAATGTTTTCATCAAATTATCCTCAAAGTTCAAGTCATTAATGTTTATACATTAAGGTATGTATATGTTTTTAAAAGAGTGTGAAAAAGTATTTCTACCTCATACAATGTTAGTTACCAGTTCTTTTTTGCCTAAATATCTAATGTATCTAGAAGAAAAATCCTAATTATGATGATAATAATAACAATAATAATAATAATAATAATATCCGCATTTCGATAGTCACCACAAGTCGTCCAGTCTTAATCGTTTCATATATTCTCCCCTATTATTTCACTTTCATATAATATACATATACCATCTGTGCATATCAACTAAATGGAGGCATGCGTACACAAACGCACTTATATGTGTATAAATGAGCCTATAGAATGGGTCGACAAATTTCCTATATGATCATGTTTATTTCTGTTAACAATAGACAAAATATAGGCCTACACAATTCATATATATATATATATATACATATATATATATATGTATTAGAATTTGTATATCGTTTTAGTGAAGTATTATTTTTCGAAAAGAACACAAGTATGAAATACGTGTATATGTACAGAATTTATTGAATACATCATTACAAAATGCATTTGTCTGATTTCACATAGAGATATTAAACAGGAAAACATAATGAACCTCCCATTTCCTATTATTTAAAAGAAACCAAATTTCATTATATGGAGAAAAAAATAATAATTGATGTAGATAAATAAAGTTGTACACTAGTCACATTGTTCATTGTAATGAATGAATAAATGTATTCTGTACATCTGTTATGAATGTTCAATTTTTCAAATACAATTTAACTTAGTGTTGACAATTAAACAACTAGATACTACATATATTATAATGAATAATTGTATTGAATCTATGTATACACATAGAATACGTGGTTGTAGTACAATCACTCTATGCATTTATCTAATCTCCTATTCGACCTTTAATTGGATTTCTGCTGTTCCATTTCATAAAATGCATTCAGAGATTACAGTTAGTCTTCCAGACATTTACTCATCACAAATTATTAAAAACTCTAATCAATTAAATAATGATAACACTTTAAATTATCAAATTACTTTAAATAAACACAATAAACAATTTAATGTGAATCAAATAAAATTATTCAATATTTCAGGGATAAATAAATTAAAAGAGTATAATTTACTGAACCGAAAACCTACAGAAACTTTACATTTTCAATCAGGTTCATATTTACATAAAACTCCATTATTTATAAATTCTCATGGAAATTATTTAACAGAATTTGATCATTATCCTAATGTTTGGTTTCAACAAAGGAAACATTTAAGAACTTCAAAATATCGTCCTGATTTGTGGACTACTTTGGATGTAGAAAATTGTTGTAAGTTATTTTCAGAGTATCTTTTACCTATCTAACTCTTGTTATATATTCTATCTTATTTACCTTAACAGTTTGTACAATAAGTTTACGTTATTTATTAAGTTAATAGGAACCAATAAATAACAAACGGTTAGTACTTCAGAATAGACAAAATGAAACTGATTACTCCTCGGTGACCAAACAGTGCATCTAACTTGATCCTATCAGCTCCAAAAGCTCAATGGTAACACCTTAAAATATAACACTGGGTGATATGGATTAGAATCTCTCAGAAAACTCAAGTTTCATCAAGATTACAGATACACTATGCTGGTGAATGATAAAAGACATGAAACCTAAAGGAAACAATTCTTCCTACCAACTACTATTATCAAAGTGTACCGTGATAATAAGCCTCTTAGCTTGATGACTATACTGGAAGATGATAAATAAAATTCGGTTGACGCTGAAGACTAAACAGAAGGAAATTGGTAGCTAACAATGACAAATTAGTGTTAACAACTAATAGCTTTCACAATGATAATTCATTGGCTTAGAATATCACAAACGAAGTGGAATGTTTATTTGTATTAAAATTTCCAAATAATCAAATTAAATGTCAGTGAATGTCAAATAAAATTTAGCTCATTTTAAGAATTCTATATTAGATTTGTTTATTTGAGTTCTAGCACACGGTGGTGATACAGTATTATTTACTTGATGAGGTTTCCAGCATAAATCATTGCTTATAATCATACCGAATGTAATCACACACACCTTTCTATATTTCAGTTTTATAGTTGCGTCACCTCATATGATTTGTTTCTGGTGGTATCAAAATTTCCCATATCTCTGGTATAGGTGTTGCATGATTTCTGTTACATATCTTGGGTAGGTATTGATTCGATGAACAAAGATTCAGTAATCAGTCTCTCTCTTCACCTAACTAACTAAATTGGATTTAAGTATAGTGGTTTTATCCAACCCAGCCTATTGTGTGATTGTGTGTTAATGCATGCATTACAATAGCCGAGTTGTTTTCTAGATTATTAATCTTATTCGGGTCATTCGCTATTCTAACTGTCCCCAACCAGCTAGTTTGATCTATGTACTTGGCCTCACAGTCATTGCATGGAATTTGATAGAATTAGATTATTTTGCTGAATTCGTTCCATCGGATCCTTAAGTCAGCTGACAAAGCTTTTCTCTGAGTGAGTTTGCATACTTAAATGCTACTCTAATCCCAGCCTTTTTTGAGGATCCTACGTAAATTTTCTGATGTACCTTGGTAACACAATGAAGGTGTTAAACTCCTTTCTACTTGTGTTGTCGTTATTGTTCTTACTTATGTTACCGTTCTAGTCAATGCAAGGAAAAAATCTAAATAAAAGTGTTTCTGCCTGCTTTGTTTACTTGTTTGACCAGTGACTAGTGATTCAAAGGGACATAATTTTACTGTAAAGTTATACTTATGAAGTCGCTAAACTAACTGCATCCTGTTAATAACCTTAGAAGAAGCCAATATGAAGAGATAAATCATTTGACCTCTATGGATGACATTCTTGTTCATTGCTCAATAAATCCGAATAATTTTTATGGACAGTTTTCCAGAGAACCTATTTTCAGTATTGAATCAAGTCAACTGCATAAAAGTATGGCAACTGATAAATGTTTATAGAGGTGTATAGAAATGAAAAACTGTGCTTTATACTTTGTTGAATTAAAGAAAGATTAGAGAAAGTCAGGTTTGTAAACTGATAGAACAGAAAATTTTCTTGATATTTTACGATAGGTAATTGTTCGTTCATACATGCACTTGAAATATTAAATTTCTCATCAAATCATTTTTCGATATTTTTCTACGTTATATGTTTCAACTAATCTTTTGAAATACTTATCATTTACAAGTCTAGTTCTAACAGCTTGAAACTTTTCATTGACCATGTACTTTGTATAGACCTTCAGAATTCACAAAAGTAACAAATGATTAAGACCTTTTTTTCTTTCTGATGGAACTCAATGGTTGCAGTTAATGAAATGTTTGACGGTAAGTCAACCTCTGTAGTTAACTGTTCATTCCTTGTCTTCAGCACTATATCTTAAAAGTAGGATTAAGAGTTGTATACCAAGTCACTAATGAAGTTTGTAGATATGCAACAACTACTGAAGAGTTTAACCAATTCATCAGTTATACAGTTTTCACTATAAATTAAAGACTTTTTATTTATAAACCTTCTATGTAGACGAATTGTGGAGATGAAATTCTTAGACTATTTATTCTGGAGGTTTACCATATATTTTAATGTTTATCTCGAAAGTTATTTAACGTCAAACATGATCATGGCTGTCTGTATTACCTGAAACTGATAAGAATTAAGCAAAATAGCTTAGAAGTGTAAAATAGGAATAAATATTCATTTTACATAATAGTGATTCCAGAAAAAATGAAAATCTGAAATTCCTTCGCCACTATAAATGATTCTATAAATCCATTTGTTTCTGTCATCACATAGAATATTCTTCACTTACTCGAGATAACTACGAGTGTTTTAATTGTCTAATAATATGAACAAGTACATTATTCAATGAATAATTGTTTCGTTAAGTTTAAACAAAAGTAATTGTACACATTAGTAGTTGTTCAATGCATATGACAATTAATCTGTGGTAATAAGATTGATTCATTTGATGTAGCGTATTTTTGTTTTGCCTTCTAATGTTCTTTTTGTTTTATTTTTCGATAAGGAAAACATTTTTCATTTCATAGGTTTATTAAAATTTTAATTAAAATTGAATAGGATGAAAGGTTGAACTCGTAAGCCTCTTTATCAAAATTTGAAGCACAGCCAAAGCCTATACTTGTAACTAACTTGGACGTAACATCCTTAGAAGAATCTCTGAATCCAATAACAAACGCGATCCCCATCTTTTCATTGCTGAATAGATTTTTATAAAGCCTGTAAGTAATGATTGCATATTGCGACTTAAATTCCTTTTTTATCTTGATACTTGGAAAAGCATAAAAGTATACTTTACTTAAAAGAAAGCAAATGAGTAGTAACATATTAGCTTAATGCAAAAAAGAACTTTTAGGACAATTTGAAGTGGCGCCAAACACTTTTCAAAATTCAATCGAACCTTATTTTATTCAAACAAAATTTGTATTTATTTTTAATTCAGTATCAAGGTCACTGCTGACGTCTAATAACTCTCTACTATAACATTAACACAAATATGAATGAACTAATCGAATGGTTAATTACCTGTACATGATTATTATTACTGCACTCAGTATAAAGAACAAGATCCGGATTTTCAACACCAATGTCAAGTCAGTGCTGCTTTATGGTTCAGAAACTTGGAGCATCACCAAGAGCACTTCCAACAAACTACAAACACTCATCAACAGCTGCCTACGCTTGATACTGAAGACCAGAAGGTTTTGAAAAAATAAGCAACAAAGAACTCTGAGAATAAACCAAATAACAACCTATCACTCAATAAATATGCAGAAGAAAGTGGAGATGGATTAGGTATGCACTGAGATCATTCATAGGACATCACGCGTCAGGCCTTCGACTGGAATCCAAAGGGGGAAACGACGAGTTAAGCGTCGGAGGTGAGGGTTACATGGAGAAGATGATGTGAGGAATAAATGAAAGCTTGTAGGCAGTCATAGAACGAGGTTCAAAAGACTGGAGAGAAGAGAGTGCAATGGATGCGTACTACTGAAGCCCTATGTTATACTTGGAACCCAAGAGAAAAAGAATAATAATTTATAGTCTGTTTGTTTTGATATATTACCTATTCACATAGAAATCGTATTATTTTTTATTGATTCTTTATTCATACTATCTGGACAGGACAGTAAAATTATATATTACCACAGACTTCCTATCAAGTAGGTGTATTTTCAATTTTGTGTTGATGTTCAGCCTAAGACCAAAGTAAAGGATATTTATGTTTAGTTGTTAGAATGTCCACCGATAGACTACTGAAATACAACGACTGTTTATTGTTGATATATCATAAACTGATAATACTAATAAAGTTGTTCAATTAGCGGGTGAAATGTTTTGTATTTTTATCCTTTCCATCGACGTACATTAGTTTACTGTCATAAATTATTCAGATGAAATACATTTTTATGTCAATTTAAGAAAAAACTCACAACTCTCTTCAAAACAGTATTTCCATCAGACTCTTCTCATGCCAAATTGCACAGAAAATAGTCAACATACCTGGATCTGGTTATTCTTGTCATATAAAGTCGAATTAAAACATGCTACATGAATTTTCTTAGCTTTTTTCCAAGGGAACTATAAAGTTGTCTTAAAGAATTTCTCTATCGTAGAATAAATCATGATATGAAATAATTCCAAGTTGTTATTCATCGTAGACTGGCATCATTTGGAGGAACAAAGGAAACCTGAAAACATTGGACAGCTGTTTTGTCCTAGCAGTGCGTACCCACTACTCCCCCTCAGGGATCGAAGCCGTGACCTTCAGGTTCCATGACCAGCATGTTACCGTTGAGTCAGTAGGTCAGAATCCAATGGTTCATATTTCTAACTTCTGTTAGTTCACGAAATAATTTGTCAATTTTTATGAAATGTTTATTGTGCCATTGTAGCTTTCCCCTGATATTTTATACTGGGTGGCATATTATCTTTTTTGTCACGTTTTATCTCATCATGAACTTAAAAAATTGAAAATACTAGTACAATGTTGCGTTATATGATATCGTTCATCTTTGGATGGGAAACTTTTGAAGTTACATTGCTAACACTAGGATCAATGTTTTTCAGGGTTGTATTCTTATCTGATCCACTGAATATTTTGAAATAATAATCGCAACGTGAATGATTGTGAATTCAGACATCTTTTGGTGCTTTACATGAATGCTAACCGAGAAAGATAAGAGCTTGGTAAATATCAAATCCAGAAGGTTAATTCTGAAGGAGTAATTGAATATTACTGAACGTTCTGCTGTGTAAGCTGCAGTTTTTTCAGCAGAATAT